ACTTTATGTAAAAATCTCAGTTAAATATTCAATAAAGATAGAGGCATGGCCTCATCATTAATATTAAAAAAAAAAAATAATAGAAATTATATGTTAAATAACTTTAATCTGGATAAAAATAGAATTTCTCTATTTATAATATTTAGTTTTTTAATTTTATTGAAAATAAAAATTTAATTTTATATAACATATTACGTTTTTAAAATAATTTTCTAAAGAATAATTAAAGTTAGAGAAAAATAGATCAGTGTCTACACAAGCAAGATTATGCATTTTAGTATAACAATAACAAAACAAATTAAAGGTGCATATTCATCTATAAAGCATGCAATTGAGAGTTTAGGAAGTTTGATGAAAGCTTTTAATTCTTTAGACAGATAGTTGTATTTGCATCATGAAGAAATCTTATTGCAATATAAAAATAAAAGTATAAATATTGATTCATTGTTAACACAAAATAATAAATATCGATTAGGACCATTTTTGGGAAAAGTATTACAGTTTGTGCTAAATAGTATAAAGAATAAACTTCTCAGCACCACTACATATAAAGCTTTCTTATATGAACTATATGTTAATTACAATATACCTTGTCATCATATACTTCCAGCAAAAGGTCCTATTGCATTATCAAGTATTTCAAAAAGATGGCTATTATTTCCTAATCAAAATTAATTAGATTCTCATCATATAGTTCAAAATATAGCTTCAATTAATCCTAACAATTTTATTTCACTTAAGTCTAAGCTTTATATAATTAAAACACGATATATGAACTTTTTAGATGAACAGCAAAAGTCAGTCCTTCTAAACCAACTTGATAATATTTTGATAGTTCCAGAAATTAAGCTTTCTGATATAAAAGTACCAGAAAGAATTATAGGAAAAGGCTGTCCTTCTAGAACCAAATAATTACCAACTGCATTAGAATGTATAGAACAGGAGAAAAAAAAAGAAAATTGATAATAAAAATAAAAAAAAATTCCAAGAATATCAAGAAAGAACCAACCAAAAGTATTAGCTTTTCGCAATATATTTTAGAACTTTACATCAAAGGTAATATTAAAAAAAATTTTTTTTTTAACCAAAAAAAAATAAATTATTTATATTTATATAGATCAAGTCTCAAAGATTTTGTTGAATTATTGCATTCCTGCTGATGACATAGACCAAGTATATAATTTACTAAGTGATGGTAATTGTGGATTTTATGTACTTGCCTTTGCTATTAGAGGAAATAAAGAAAATTGAGATCTTATCAAATTAGTAATAAATAATTAATTAAATAAGTGAATGAAGATTTACAAAGATTGGTTAGATTATAACATTGAATTGTTTAAACAGATATTGGAGTCTTGAGCATCATTTTGTAAACCTTCATTTTGGTTTCTGTTATCTGATTGTATTCAATTAGATGCCAACACTTTTTCTGTTCCTATCACTATTTTTGATAAAAGAAATAAGCAGAGTATAATGTTCTTTCCATTAGAAACATCACCAGTGCATTGAAGAAACCCAATTATTTTATATTTTATAAATAGAAATCATATTATATATGTAGGTATGAAAAGTTATATGAAGGTTAATTGGCCAATAGCTAACATTCAGCATACACCAATATGTTACAAATATGGTCTTAAAGATCATTGGTCAAACCTTTTTATGTAAACTTTCTTTGAGCTTATATCTTATATAGCAGACATGTGTACCATATAATCTGAATGTAATATGCATTTAGTGAATTATTAATTACT